ACCAAACATAACCTATACATAAACATCAATTTCCTCCGTTGATGCTCGACCCTCCGCCGCCGGTGCCCGACAGACCGAGTTCTCACAGCCCTCGACTGAAGCTCGCCGTCCAACGACCTTCGCCACTCACGAGTCGAAAGGGACCGCTGCACAATGGTAGCCGTCCGCTTCAACCGCTGAAACCGCCAGTTGCCGCACCACTCCTCCATCAATGACGATTCATTCTTTGAGCTCGCCGAGCATAAACGGCGCGGGATGTTCGGAGCCTTCGGCGTCGAGGATATCGAGAGCAACGACGAAAAAGGTTCGGAGAGGGGCGAGAGGAGGAGGTGAAGAAGGAAAAGGAAATAAAAGAGACGTCGAAGGAGAAGAAAAGACGGTTGGCGGATGCGTATTTATAGTCGCCCATGGAAAAGGAGAGAATGAAAAGAAGAAAATGGGTAAAATGAGAACGATGAATAGAGGAGAGAGAAGTATAAATCTGTTTTTGACTTCCTATGCGAATCCCGCTAAATCCGCCACTACCCAAATAAAACGCAATTCATCCTTAATTAAAAATTTTAAAGCAAGGAAATTGATGCTCATAGGTTTACAAATAAAATATTCAGGTCAGGTACTTTTGCTAAATAGTATGTGTGGTTTATATGCAATAAAAATTGCTGGAAGTCGTTAGGGAGGTAATTTTCTCAACTCAAAATGTACAAGGCGATCAACCAACGGGTTAAAGCGGCCCCTATCCAGACAAAGCCGGACAAGGTAACCAAGAGGGGAATTCAGCCCACGAAGACCCCTAAGAGACCAAACTAGGTCCTAAAACTAAATAACAGAGCTAAACAAACATGAGTACTAAGCTTATTTGATTGCAATAACAACAAACATGGGTATTTTAGCTTCTTCGATTGCAATGGAAGACCAACGATTACTTTTAAATTTCACTCTTGCTTCGCCCTCAAATGATCACATCATGTATCATGATTACATGAAAATTAAGTTATACTAAAATATAACAATTCACTACAAGTGGATACCGTAGTTTTAGTTAGTTCTGTGAGTACAAGCTATTTTTCTTGTTCTTCTACAATGAATCTTCCAGGTAGCAGCACAAGGAATGAATCGATTTATGGCAATCAAAAGTCAAGAGAAAATATCCTTGTTTAATATGTGTTGTACTCCTCGTGTACAAAACATCAATGGCATATTCACACGGTGAGAGATGCACCATTATCTGCCGCCGTCAGATGGAGAATCAGGTTAGCTGCCTTGGGAGCCCTGTTAAAATAGAAGAATCAAAGAACTTGGAGCTCAAACGGTCCATATTCAAGACAAATGGCAAAGATGTAATGCAAAATCAGAGATATGCCACCTGATACTTCATCAATATTCCGGCATACAGCTCAGTANAAATAAAAAAAAAAGAAAAGAAAAGAAAAGAAAAGAAATGTTCACTCTGATTGTTGTTAAATGAATTGTGGTAACCCAATAGGAGTTTGAGAAACCAGATGTGCAGAAACATCTTAATTTAGTTGATAGTATATCAAAAAAAAAATTAAAATGATGCATCTTTTTTCTCTTTTCTGTTTGAAAGGAAGACCATATAAAATTAGTAACAGTGGTTTCAAAATTTACCAAGTAGTACATTTAAACAAATTACTAAATTAGGTTTTCTCTATACTACAAACCGCTTCTGTTACATGCACCACATAGTCCACCTCATGATTGTATTTAGCTAATTGTAACTTGGAAATTTAAGAAGAGAGGCTCCACAGTTCGCATGTCGTTTACCATATGACCAAATGTTTTTACATTCCCTAAGCAGTGTTAGTGAGACCAGAAACAATACAGAAATTTGGACAAGCAACTACAGCTTAGTTTTTTTAAATAGAGAACATACCATGCTTCATTATTGACCCAATATTTCATGAGGACACGACATTTATACATGCACACACAGAAGAGAGAGAGAGAGAGAGAGAGAGAGAGAGAGAGAGAGAGAGAGGATACCATGATTCAGGAGTCGGATATAGAGCAGCCGAACTTCCAAAACATGACTGGAGCATCTCAGTGTTAATTACACCAGGATTGAGAGCAACAATAGCCATTCCAGCAGGCAACTCCTTTGCGACTGCCCTTGTCAAACCCTCCACTGCCCATTTTGAGGCACAATAAGGAGCCACCTAGATTATATAATGTAGTCTCAACTCATTAATAACATGGTAAAAGATGGAGGGCCTAAATATTTAGGTATTCGGAATAAGAAATTCAGCAAGTTCTTGTCACCACACAGGTCATATACAGCCCAATTTGGGGCCATTAAAAATATTACTACTACCACTACTACTACTACTAATGATAGCAACAACAATAATAATAATACAAACCATTCATATAAGACTTCAAGGTAAGTAATAGCCTAACTATATTTTTCAAAATGCCTATCTGCGGTCTATTATTGTGTTCATTCTAGTCGCGATAGGAATAATAACGTTTAATCAAACCACACTTGAAGCAGAAAGCATAACAGAGGAGTAACTATCATTTACTAGTTATGGTTCTCATGACAAATTAACAGCTATAATGGAACCTTCTCATTTGCCGAGAGTTATAAAGAAAATAGAAAAAAGGGAAAAATTTGAACATACTCTACGTTAGATGAAAATTAAACTTCTCCAGGGCAATTTTACCTGTGCAGCGGCAGATCTTCCCCATCCAGACGACATGTTGACAACAATCCCATGCTTGTTCTCAGTCATTATTGGAAGAAAATGCCGCAGAACATTTGCTATCCCCTTGATATTTGTATCAATAACTGTGTCAAATTCATCTGGTGGAACCTCCCATATTCTATTGTTCCTATTTATTGTACCAGCATTGTTTACTGGAGAAGGATCACACATGCTACATTAGTTTACATGTTTAACATACAATGAGGAAGATAAAATTAAATGCAAACAAACATGTATAAAAACAAACAAAAGTGCCTTCCATACTTTTCCATAAGCAGCAACATGGGAAAATAAAGATAATAAATAAAAGAATATGTTATGTTGGAATAATCATCAAAGATGCTACCACAATAAAATTCTTGCCCAGTCATAAGAAGCAAATAGAGTAATTGGGAACCGTTCAAACAGTATGAAATTAAAACATAAAAGAAACAGCCTGAAACCAGAGAATGGAACAACAACAACAACATAGCCTTTAGTCCCAAGCAAGTCGGGGTAGGCTAGAGATGAAACCCAAGAGAACCATCGGTAAAAGAAACACAAAAAGGGGTTGAAACAAAAGGAAGAGATTGGAGCAAAAGAGAAAGGAGCAAAAGTCACGGTTCTGGCACGTTGATTGCTAGCCTCCAAGCACTCCTATCCACCGCTAAATCCTTGGAGATATTCCAATCTTTAAGGTCTCTCTTAACCGACTCTTCCCAAGTGAGTTTAGGTCGACCTCTACCTCTCTTTACGTCCTCGAACCGCTGTAGAACTCCCCTACGCACCGGTGCATCAGAAGGCCGCCGTTGGACATGTCCGAACCACCTCAGCCGATGTTGAACTAATTTCTCCTCAATTGGAGCCACCCCGACCCTATCTTGAATATCTTCATTCCGGATTCTATCCCTTCTTGTGTGCCCGCAGAACCATCGCAACATACGCATCTCTGCTACACTTAATTGTTGGACATGTTGCCTTTTTGTAGGCCAACATTCAGCACCGTATAGCATCGCCGGGCGAATCGCCGTCCTATAAAACTTACCTTTTAGCCTCTGTGGTGTCCTCTTATCACAGAGCACGCCCGAAGCTTGCCGCCATTTCAACCAACCGGCTGCAATTTTATGTCTAACATCAGCATCAATGCCGCCATCCTTTTGTAGCATCGATCCTAAATACCGGAAAGTCTCCTTCTTGGCCACCACTTTGCCCGTCAAGGCTAACGTCACCCTCATCATGTGAAGCCATGCTGAAAGCGCACGTCATGTACTCGGTCTTCGTCCTACTAAGTCTGAAGCCTTTCGACTCTAACATGTCCTTCCACAGCTCTAACTTCCTATTTACCCCTGCTCTACTCTCGTCAACTAGCACCACATCATCAGCAAGGAGCATACACCAAGGGATATCACCTTGTATGTCCCTTGTGACCTCATCCATCATCACTAAGGCAAATAAATAAGGGTTCAATGCTGACCCCTAGTGTAGTCCTATTTTAATTGGGAAGTCGCTGGTATCGCCCCCACATGTTCGGACACACGTCATCGCATCCTTGTACATATCCTTGATGAGGGTAATGTACTTAGATGGGACTTTGTGCTTTTTTAAAGTCCACCACATGACATTCCTCGGTACTCTGTCATAAGCCTTCTCAAAGTCGATAAAGACCATGTGCAAGTCCTTCTTTTGGTCCCTATATCTCTCCGTCAACTGTCGTATTAGGAAAATCGCCTCCATGGTCGGTCGACCTTCCAGGCATAAACCAGAGAATGGAAAAGGCAGGAAATTGTTTATCAAGGTTGTTTCAAACTTTAACAAACACTTGAAATTTCTTGCAATTGTGGCATAAACAATTGGGGATTACAAGGTTTTACTGAGAGACTAATCAATGTTCACAACTGTTTTGAAGATTAACCTTGCAAGGAAATACAAGTTTTTAAGATAGCAGAGTATGTTGAAGAGACTAATGATTAAAATTCTTACGAGGATGGAAAGATAATAATATCTACAAAAGATGGCAGCAAGACTATACCTAAAGCGCTTCACAGAATCACACTACTTACGCTAATTACCTCAGATAATCACAAATTACATTATATCTTCATCCACATGGTTCTAGTTGAAAACTATGCTTACATTTCGACCCAAAATAAAAACACCTGATAAGCTAACTCTGTTACATATGTTATCTTCATCCCATCACATTGCAATGAACATTCAGCGTAAGCACCTCAACATGGAAGTAACTTACATCACTCAAACTATAGTAAAAGTAACTCGACCATTCTCATCTTATTAAATACTTAAAATTAAAAGATTTAAAAGCTGATAATTATATCATAAGAACATATAGTTTCACAACGCTAAAACTGCAAAGCATCTCTCATCCACAACCATTTGCTTTCAAAACCTAAATCACTGAACACATATTGCCAAATTTAGGCCTACGCAAATACGTTAATAAGCACACGAACCTATAATGTCTGGAATAGCCTTCTTCTCCACCAAAGCACGGGCCAACTCCTCGACGCTACCATTAGACCTCTAATAGATAACCATTAGGNAAGATTACTCACATAAAACCCGCAAAAGAAACAAACAGAGAGATGAAAGCACAATAGAAAAGATGAATTACCACATCAACATTCATAAGGAGGTGCTGGTTGGCGTTGCTCTTGTTGTCGGAGGCAGAGGATAGCTCCGACTGGAGGGAGGGAAGCTTGTCTGGAGAGCGGGAGCAGCCGATTACGGTGTGGCCACGCTTAGCCAATTCGAGAGCTAAGGCTTTGCCCAGGCCACGGCTCACCCCGGTTATCAGGACCTTCCGGAACTGAGCGGCGGCGCCACCACCCGTCACGGTGTTAATTGCAATTGGCGGGGTGGTCATTCTACTCTTTCTGTAAATCTTACGACAAAAGGAGTTTGTAAGTTTGCACATAGCAACGTCAAAGTGTTAGGGGAGGCAATGGGAAATCTAGGGATTCATTTCATGGTACCAAACTGTTGAAGCAGAAAATAGAAGGTAGCGACCGTCCGTCACACAGCGCATCTACTGTATGGACTGTTGGATTAACCCATTAGATATCCAACAACGGTGTATGGTTATACACACCCCTACGGGTCAAATTAAATATATTTTCAAATAAAAATATATTAGTACAACACACGTGTATTACACGGGTGCTTGTTAAAAAATTATTCTTAAATTTTAAAATTAATGAGAAAAATTATTTTAAATTTTATTGATATTTTTACAAAAAATATATATTATTATATATTTTAGAATGACATTTGTTACTTGTGCGACCTACATGTGTTATGATAGTAATTTTATAACTTATATCATATAACTACTTCAAATATAATATATTAATTGATAAATAATTTTATTTGTGTTATGATAGTAATTTTTATAACTATATCATATAACTACTTCAAATATAAATATGTTAATTGATAAATAATTTTATTTTTCTAATTAATATTAAAAATAATTTCATTATTGTTATAAAGATAAATGTAATTTATTTTTTCTATACATACAATATGAATGTTAAAACGAAACTCATCAAAAGATGATTACTTTGATATATTATATATGTAAAACTGATAAAAAATACAAAAGTTATTAACTTTTAAAATACATTTACAAGGCAATGGTTGCATCTCTTGGATCCCACTCGATACACAAATTGGCTCTCTTATCTGACCAGCTCGATCGCCCCTCAATGAGGCATCCACTGCTTCCTTGTCGAAATCTTGACTAATCTCCGACATATCAACCAATCTTTAGAAGGGGAATATATTCGGCTCCCATATATTTATTTTCTTAAAAGTTTGGAGATCTTTCATAAAGCTATGAGAATTATCAGGCAAAAACCATAAAACAAGGAAAGAAGACGGGAAGGTCCTATTTATGGCCTCAAAAAGTAACTCCCGAATTTCGAGCATCAAGCATCGATTATTGTGATTACTTACATGACGCCGCCTCTAAAAGCTACCACTTGTCCCATCGAAAAGATGTGCTGCCTCTTTTTAATCACCTTAAATGAAGCTCGAGTTTTCCAACAATCGCACTTTAATATGTTTGATGTCGATCCTGCGTAGTTGACCTTTTCAAATTAATGGAAATTGCACGCAGCTTTCTAGGACCACAAGGTGATCTCGAGATCCCATCAACGACCTAGAAACTTGGGGCCTCCTATTGTATATGCACCCCGGGGAAGCCCATGAAAACGAAGAAGACTCGACCCACTAAAAAAGCATCAAGTAAGGCCCATGGTACACGGGAACTTCTCCGTAAACGTAGACTAGCTCGTGTCGATCTATCACTACCGATCTCTCATTGTCGATCACTTGCAAAATGTTAATGCACTCTGACAAGATGAACCACTAAAACCGCCAAATATGGAGAAATCACCGCCTAATAGGTCTAATCTTGCCGCCTAATCGGTCTCGTCCTGCAGGACTGAAGAAAATACATTTCGTCCAAAAAACCAATTCATGTATGGCACCACACGTCATTCACCTAACCACCAAGGTGGCAATATGCAATAATTGTATTTTACTTTTTCCCGCATATAATTAAGGCATCTAGCGCCTCACAAACGATATGAAGCACACAAAAGCTCAACAAAATATTACGCTTTTTAATATGGTTCGGATAAAAATTACTACTTTTTTTTATTCCAAATAACTTAAGTTTGGATTATCGTAAATATACATATTTAATATATTTAAACTGCTCCATATAAATCTATTTATTATATTCTTTCTATAATCTGCATATTAATAAAACTAATGATATATATAAATTTAGTTTTCATAATTTAAAATAGTATTGTTAATTCACTCAGTTTTTTTGCACCTCTAAAAAAATATATAATTTTTTTTTCTTTGTTATATATTTAATATTTTGTCAAATACTTGTGCAGTACACGAGTATCGTACTAGTTAAATGTAAAGTTATAAAAATATAGTTTGAAATCTAAATTGTAAAATTATGTACGGATGTTTAACTATCATGATTAAAAGAATATAATTTGACAATATAATTGTTGGCTCATGAGCATTTAATAAAACCTATTAAATTATACCTATGTGGCAATATAATTTTTTCCCTCCAAAAACCGTTACTTTTTATTTATTTAATCTCTCATTTAATTATTAGATAATCAACACACTAATCACTTCAAAATTACAAAAATCATTTTAAACTTTTAATTTACTTACAGCTGACCATATAATGTATTAACTATTTCACGTGATTAGATGTTATTGTTTTGGTTACATTTAAATTAACTTCTTTTGGAAAATAAAAAACATATTTGAAATTCCTAAATAAATAATTCACAAAAAAAATACATACCAAAATATACATTACATCCAATGTGATAAACGCAACTTACAAAAATAAATATTTCAATTCCTTTAATTGTAAATTTGACCTGCAAAAAAAAGTAAGAAAAATCATTAATCATTATAATGTGAAACGATATGATATAAATAGTTATAATTAATTATGATGGAAGATAAACAATACTAACTACTTGATATAGGATACCACACCCAAGGGAATAAACATGTCGATTAGGCCAAGCGAGCCGCTTTCGAGCAGAATCACAACAGGGCCGGGGTGGTGGCCGAACATCACCAATTCAGGACAAAGTGCTTTCAGTCTAGAAGACGGTGTAAGGGGTACATGATAGCAGGTCGAGCCAGGGCCTTTAGATGGTCTGATAGAAACTCGAATTGTGAGCATGGTCGGTCGTTTTATCGACCAGAAAGAACAACGTGTGGTCTAGGACAACCAATATTCTACTTCGGCAAGCCTTAAGCAGGTCGCATTATTAAGTAGTCTAATATGAAGGATTAAAGGACAAGAATGAATTTTGCCATAACCAGTGCCACACGTGGCACTGCCTGATTGATCCACATTCTGTAACCACCCCTGAAAGGTCCAGTCATCGAATCTGAGCATGAATGTTCAGAAACAGTTGCTCGGTTTAGTTAATTAATTTTTTTAATAAAAAACAAAGTCGAAACCAAATCGAATTAATCAAAAATTTTAAAAGTAAAAATTTATCATCGAAACGACATATAAAAAACCGAACTGAAAATTTTATTGAAGTCGGGTTCTTCGATTTTGGTCGAACTTTGCACACCCTAATTGCGATACAAAATGCACAATAGCAAAAAAGGATATGCACATTAATTCCTGTGAAAATGTACAATAACGTACAATGTACTTTTGATTTTTTAAGAATGGTTATTGCGCACAATGTTACAATAATGTGCATTGTCACAGATACCAATGTACATTTAGTATAAATTATTGTGCAGTCTATAGAGCTGGTAATTTGTATGTGCTTTTCAATTTTAGAAAATTTTAATAATGTGTATTTAGATTAACATTATTGTGAAGTTATCGAACATTTTTTTTATTAACTGCAGATTTACCCATGACATAAATGACAATATGTTTAAGTTTTCTTAAATTGCATATAAGCCCTTATGATTTATCTAATTTTTACAATAAATCCCCTAATCCCAATTTTTTTCCCGTCATTCTATGCTTCAGGGGCTGAGCAACAACCAAAACCCCGACGTCGCCTTATCCTCCAGTGGGTGAAGTGCACAATATTATAAGATTTTTTTTTTCATCCAATTCATCCACAATAAATCTAATTGAAGAAGCAACTGAAATTTTGATATTTGATTCCACCCAATTCCTCCTTCGACTTGAAATCCTAACTGCATATAATTGGTATCATCAATGGAGATGCCGCAGCTCACTCAAACCGACCCAGAAGTGTTGAAGGATTTCGGATGACGAGGCTCAACTGGTCGCGATCCAAGGTGAAGGGAGCCTGGGCGGGGGGAGGCGACGGAGGTGATGACAGAGGAAAAATATGGGCGACAGGATCTAGGCCAGCGCGACGATTGTCAGCCACGGCCACGATGCAGACGCTCATGGAGACGGCGGAGAAACACCACGATAGAGCCACCAGCAGCATAGAGGTGGAAGGCGACGAGCACGAGTAGGAAATGCGGGTGACGATAGGTGTACGTGATGTGTGTGTATGTTCTGTATGTGTGTGTATGCGTGTGTGTGCATGTGCGTGTGTGTGTGTGTGTGTGTGAGAGAGAGAGAGAGAGAGAGTTAAGTAAAGGGAGGGAGATGGGGTGGGGATGGGACCCACTGATGTGGGTGGTTGAGAAAATATCCACATTGCCCTTAATGAATTTAATAATTGCACATTACGATTCACTGTATTGCACATTACCATTCAACACATTACACATTATTGTTCAGTGCATTGCTTTGCATAATAGTGTGTGTCTGTATGTACATTAAAAACTAAAAAAATTACAAAAATATCAACGCGTTGCGGAATGAACGATTACAATAATGTTCATTGGTTGGTTCGGTTGAACCAACTGACCGAAATGTTAAAATTGATATAATCGAGTCGAACTTTTGAAAAAGTTAAACCGACAGAACGGTTATCCCAAGCCAAATTAAAATCAAATAGAAATACTTGGTTTATTCAGTCGGTTAGTCAAATTAACAAAAAATTCTGAAGTAAATTATATTTTATGTTATAAGAAAATATTATTTAAAATGTTAATAATTTAATTTGTTATTTTTATATTATTTTTGGTTGAAAAACTTTAAGTTCGGCCAGTTTCGATCTCTGATAGCCATAATAAAGTGCAGCGTGTGGTTTTGTAAATTGAAACTTGTTATTTTATAAAGTGCAACATGTTGATGTATAAAGTGAACTGTTGTAATTTTGGTACGTTAGCATGCTTGTGGTTTGTGTGGATAGAATATCCGCTTTTTAGATTTATGTTGCTGTGGTATTTTCGCGGGAGCGGTTGACGTTAATTGTGGAGTGTGGTGATAAAGTGCAACGTGTTGTTTTATAAAGTGCAACATGCATCTACATAAAGTACTGATATATAAAGTGCACTAAGATCACATATAAATTGTGTTTTTGAGAAATATATCTATATATAATTATACATCGAATTAACTTAAATAATTTATAATTTATTATAATAAAGGTATATTCATTATTTTAA